ACACACCCGAGGCGAGACTCGGAGCACGCGGGGGCCACGTGGGGTGTCCCATGGGACAGCCCACATGTCCCATAGGACAGCCCAAATGTCCCATGGGACACAATGGGACGGCCCTAGCTGTCCCACGGGGCGTCCCACGTGTCCCATGGGACACATGTGGGATGGCCCTAGCTGTCCCATGGGACACCGTGGAACACGTGGGACGTCCCAGAGGAATTTCAGTAGAACACAATTATTAAGACACAGAAATAGGTAGGGAGGACCACGGGGGGACACATGCAACGAATGTAGCCCCCGCCCCACTGCCCCCCCGCAAGCTTTGTTTGGATGTCCCAAAAGCCGGACGTTGCTTCCCCATCGGACGCATGGGGCGTCCAATGGACGCGTGGGGCGTCCAATGTCCGTCCCATCATGGGCTGGGGCGTTCAATGGCTGTCCCATGGGACACGTGGGACGTCCGAAATCTGTCCGGTGGGACAGGCATTGGAAGGCCCACGTGTCCCATGCGTGTCCCATGCGACGCGTATGACGTCCAAGAGTGTCCAATAGATGTCCCATGGATCACGCGTGTCCCATTGGTCCTTACGTGTTACCGTCCAGGGATGCAAGCGAACCACGAGCGTTGGAGTTACATTTTGAAACATCACAGAATTGTCCCTAGAAGACGGGGTACAGCTCGCGGGCGTAGGCGAAGCCATCTCAATAGGCCCCGCACAGCCCTCAATCCGCGACCGCCGATACTTGGTCCTCTCGTCCCCGTGACCAGTTGGACGTTGCCATGGGTGAGTTGAGGACCCCAAGTGACTATCTATGATGTTGGCGGTGACTGTAGACGAAAAAAAAAGTAACAAATGTAGAACGTAACTCGACGTCATCGAACGCATACATACTACCCACAACTTGTGAAAACATATAATATAGGACGGATTTAGTACGAGTGTTTTTTGTTTTCAACCGCACGCACTATTCTGAGGACGTGTTATCATTGGTCGGCCGGTTGGCGCGGTCGATGCTGCTATTAATGATACAAAATGCATACGCTTACACTCACTCCTTCCTTCGTTAGACGACATCAGCGTATCTTACCTCTCTCTCTGAACTCGAGATACATCAAAGAAACATGCGTATCGGCCCTTTTCGAACGAGACTCATTGTAGTACTGCTGCTGTATATCTGGAATCAAGTTGGGACGTGCGACTGGTTGATGTTGGGTGCACATTTTTCTCCCGTCATCCCTGGCGTGACTATGCGCCGTAGCACCTGTGCATCTCTTCAAAGTCGCACAACATCCTTCCGAAATGCGCTGTACAGCAACTACGAGCCGACAGGGGGGCGAAAACCTTAGGACCTCTCAAACCCGGGACACCAGGGAACACCATCAAGATTTAGGTAGGGGAAGTACGTAAGCCTACACAGTTTGTGCAGGCAGACGATAGCGATCAGTTCACTCGCATTGCATGCAACAAGTACCAGATATCATTCATACCAGCACCACAAAGTCATGCACGCACGTGAAAGAAGAACCATCACGTGAAAGGCGCACGTATGTATGTATATGTGCGTTTTGACGAGCAGCAGCGTTTTTTTTTTGTCATCAGCGAACGAGAGAGCGGACAGATAGAGGCACACCAACACGCTGCTATACCGAACGGGACCGCAATTAGTCTTCTACTGTAATAATCATGAAGAAAATCTCTAAAAGAGGCCAAAAGAGGCTCAACTTTTCACGAAAACATGAGAATAGGGCTAAGAAACTCAGCTCAATCTCGGCCACAACATAAGAAACGTCCCAATAAGAAACACGATCCCCGAGACATACATGTAAGAAACAAGGGGTTGCTGGGGGAGGAGCGTGTCCGATAAGAGACGTCCCACTGATGATGCTGCTGCGGCCATGCTCCCACCCCCTACCTAGCTCATGGCATGTAAAAATAATAAGTAATTCTTTGGTAGGGGGGACGACAGTGGCTATTTTCGCGGCGCCCGCCGCGCCCCCGCGCTCCCGCGGGCTGCGCTACCCACTGCCACAACCCAACGGCCACACCGAGTTGTCGGTTTAACCGTCATGTCGAAGGCTTGGTGGGTTATTGTTGTTTTCCTCGCCAGAAAAATGAGAAAATAATAGATTCAACAACATGCGACAACCCCAAGGAATAAGAAATCCGTTTCAAGAAATTGGCCGACTTCGGCTGTGGTGTTTCTGCCCAAAAGAGGAAATTGAGGCTCGACCCGAATTTGACGTTTTTTTCCTACCTCCGGGCCCGTTCTGTACAGCAGCAATTAATTGTTCGTGAAGTTGATTATTATTCTGTATAGACTGTATGTATCATCCTAACGAAGCCTGCTGTGATACTGTTGCTACTCTGTTCGAGATCTGGTGACGATTTCCCAAGCGTGTCCATGTATGTACAGATAGATAACGTCAAAATCGGGTCGAGCCTCAATCCCTTACTTTGGGTCGAGGGATCAGACCAAGTCGTCCATTTTCTTAAATGAATAGCATTTCTTATTCCTTTGGACTGTCGCATCCTCCTGATTCTGTTCGAATTTTCATACTCCTGCCTTTTATACTAATAATCTCTGAGGACAATCCACTTCATGAAGCCCTCAAGAGAAGCGGTGGAGAGTGCCATCAAAACCGTACTACGGCGGAGAGCACGTGGTTGTCCGCGGTGTGGGAGCACCGAAGATTTCTGATGCCATGGGGGTATCGCACAATCATGTTTGTTTCTTATTGGGGGAAATCCTTTTTTTTATGGAGTCAACATGATGGATACCAATCAATGCATACGATACAATGTTTGGAGTCTCAACATGATGGGATGGATACCAATGCATAGTCTATACTGTAATATGGATGCATGGACACGTTTGTTTGTTTGTTTCCCAAAGGAACAAACTACAGATAGCGTCCGCAGTTAGTTAAGAAAAAATATGTGAAGAAAAAAAGGCTCAAGTTTCTACGAAAACTAAGAAAAAAGGGCTGAGAAACATAATAATAGTTGTTATAGCTCAATACACATGCTGGATGGGGAATATTGAACGAACGCTGTTTGTTTGTGTACCCCCGTGATCACCCACGGAGGTTGCCGCGTGCCCACGCACCCACGGAGGATACCGATGCCCACCCACGGTTTGACGTCTGTCCGGGGACTAGATGTTGACCCAGAGGACCGATACAGATATAGATGATGGTATATTAACCTTGATTAAAACACACGGCCGAAGTGTACACAATCAGTTAGTTCCCTGGTTCAGTGAACACATGCATGAGCGAGCTCTTACGAGGGGCGCACTTGGACTCCCAACAGCATACATACCCCCCCACACACATACTCTGCAGATCGGATCTTGTCCTGTATCCAAGTACTACCAAGTACTACCCCAAACACACGCTCCACTTACTACTTACTTTCTTTCTCGCCATCGTTGTGTCAGGAAGTTGACCAGGCGGCTACCGTGTACACTGTACGCCGACGACGCAGTACGCGGGGTCAGCGCGCATGAAAGGTTGAGGTATATTCGTCGATTACCCACGCGCTTCTGGCTAAAAATATATAATAATATCTACGAGGTTTGTTGCCCTTCGGGACGTGGGTGTCTACCCTCCCTCAGGTGACGCAAGAAGAAG